TTAATAAATCAATATTATACGATGCAAACAACTTAAAAGAATAAAAAAAAATTTTTTTGGCCGATTTTTTACTATCAAATTATTTACACTAAACAAAAAACACATGAAAAATAGGGAAAAAAGAAATTCAAAATAATGAAAATTTTAAATCAACTCCAGTTAATTTTCTAAAAAGAAATTAAAATAGAATGGGAGCCGTATCTGGGGTCGGGGCAGTTATCAAAAGAACGTTATGGCAGATAAAGAAATCTAAAATCATTTTGTTTCGACAGTTCAGAACTGAAACTGTATTTTATGAACTGTTATACCAAAACTATTTTTAAGAGAGAATATTTCACAACACAGCTGCCCGCTTTGCACCCCCTCGCTACAGCCATGCGTAAATGGTGTATAATTTCACATTTAAATAGTAATTGCGTCTGTGTGAGTGTATGAATGTTTATGCGCATCAATTCGTGTCTGTGTAAACATGTGTGCAGTTAACCAAACAGCAACATCAACAACAGCCGCGGGCAGCGCTTGAGCAGCGCTGCAACCAACTGGGGGTATTTGCAAAATTTTAGTTCGAAATTCCAAGAATTACGGGAGTTAGAGAAAATCGCGATGTGCATGGGAGAGGGGGTGGGCGGGAAATTTCAAAATACACATTTTCTGCGTATTCACATAAGGCATCTTGGACTAAAAATTGGTGTCCCTAGGTCTTATAGTCTCCGAGATATAGGCGATTATACGAATGGAAAATCGGGAAAACCCCCATAGGGGGAAAGTGGGGGGAAAATCAAAAAATAAAACAAACTCGTATAGCGTACACACATAAGGCATCTTTGTGCAAAATTTGGTGTCTCTATCTCTTATAGTCTCTGAGATCTAGGTAATCATACGGACGGACAGACAGACCGACAGGGCTAAATCGACTCGTCTTGTCATGCTGATCAAGAATATATATACTTTGTGGGGTCTGCCATTTCATTTGCCTTCTGCCTGTTACATTTTTCAGCTCGCGCAAACCTAATATACTCTTGTACATTTCATGTACAGAGTATAATAAATAAAATGCTATAATTGCGGGACCAAAGGGCACACATCAGTGAACTGCATAAATAAAAGCAAAGGCAAAAAATGTTTCCAGTGTAACAATTTTGGTCATATCGCGAAAGATTGTGATGTAAACAAAGATAAACCCAACCTAATTAATACTCTAAAATAAAAGTCGAACACACATTTATGTGCAAAGATATTGAAATGAAAGGGAACAAGTAAAAAAGCTAAATTCAGGGGTCCCGACTTTGAAATACCCTGTACATATGTTTACAATCTATATATATAAAACAGTTTGTCCTGACTGACTGACTGATTGGTGATCAACGCACAGCCCAAACGGTAAAGGCTAGGAAGCTGAAATTTGGAATGAAGTATCCTTTCATAGTCTAGGTCCCCACTAAGAAGGGATTTTGGAAAACTCGGATTAACTTTAAACTTAGTATGTATACTCTCAGAGCAATTCCAAGAAAAAATGTATACTTGGTTTTTTGATATTTTATTTTTGGGCCTAAAATATGGGAGTTTTCCTGTAAAAAAAATGTTGGGGCACAAAAGCAAACCGCGTGAACAGCCCACAGCCCACACGGTAAAAGCTAGGATGCTGAAATTTGGGCTCAAGTATCCTATCATGGTGTAGATGAGCACTAAGAAGGGATTTTGGAAAATTCGAGCTCCAAAGGGGGGAAAATAGCTCCAAAGTTTGTTTGAAAAATCCGCATTTTTCAACCGATCGACTTAAAACTTAGTTTATAAAATCAATTAAAGAATACAAACAAAACTGCATACATGGTTTTGTAAATTCTTTGTTGGAGCTTGAATTATTGGGGTTTTCTTGGGGCACAAAAGGAAACCGTGTCAACAGCCCACAGCCCAAAAGGTAAGAGCTAGAAAGCTGAAATTTGGGCCTAAGTATCCTATCAGGGTGTAGATGCGCACTAAGAAGGGATTTTGGAAAATTCGAGCTCCAATGGGGGGAAAAGTAGCTCCAAAGTTTGTTTGAAAAATCCGCATTTGTCAACCGATCGACTTAAAACTTAGTTTCTAAAATCAATTAAAGGATACAAACAAAACTGTATACTCGGATTTTCGAAATTTGTGTTGGAGCTTGAATTATTGGGGTTTTAATATTTATTCACTATTTCAAATGAAAAGTTTTTGTTATAAATTTAGTCCGATCGATTTCAAATTTGGATAATGTAATCTACGTAACTAAATCTACAACTTTGCATTCAAGGATTTTCAAAATATGCATTTTACAAAAGCAGGCAGAACAAACAATACAAAATATCAAACAGTTGGGGACAACTAAGTATACATACACACACATACAAACAGCTGTTCGTGTAGTTGCGTGCAAACGATTGAAATAGCCAAAGCAAAATGTGAGATACTAATGTGTGAATGTCCATAGATACATATGTATGTGCACATCTATGTATGTACATATGTATCTACATATGTATGTATGTATGTGCATTCGTCTTGCACTGACAGAGCAAGAAATGTTAATTAATTGAAAATTATATAATATAACATTTTTAAAAGTAATTTTTTCTTTGTTTAGTGAATTTGGCATTAGTGTTTTCATTAATAACTTTTTGCAGCAACAACAAATATCAAATAGTTGGGGACATCACATACACACACAGTAAGCAACAGTTCGTGTCTATGTGTGCGGTTCTCTACGTACGGTTGAAAAAGTAAAGAGAAACATATGTATGTACATATGTATGTATGCCTGTGTATGAATATAGCATGTATGTACATTCGTATTAATGTATACATTGGGCAATCGAACACAGTTGTTTGATTGAAAAAAAAAATAGTGCTCTAAAAACAACAACAACTGCAAGTCATTAGCTCGCTCTTCTTTCGTTTTGACCATTTAATGTTAATTGCAAAGGCAAAACGCCAAAATGTTACAGTTACCGTCGCTAGGCATCGGCTGCGTAAGCGATAGTAAAGCAGAAACCGAATAACGGAGCTACGCATATTCTGCTTCGCATTGCGGGCAGATGTATGTATATATGTATATGATTTGTTCTTATTGATCTCAATAAATAATTCGATTTCATTATTTAAATATTCTGCTTATTGCATTCAAACTTCGATAGTTTGATGGTATCGGTGCCAGTGCTTTTTGATCGTGGCTCATCACTGCACGGCATTGACACGAGTGCCGTGTTTCATATTCCGAGTTTGTGCGTGGCCGTATTGACTCAATATGGCACGAAAAGACTCAAATGTGAATTTAAATTTGGACTCAAGTATCGTTTCATAGTATCTATCATATCAGCACACTAAGAAAGGCTTTTGGAAAATTTTAGCTCCAACGGGGGGAAAACGAGCTTTAAAAAATATTAGTTATAGTGGTCATGTTCGTTTAACGAAATAGTTTGTCAAGAACAAAAATGTAACGGACTACTGAACAATTTTTTGTCAAGAACAGAAAATGTTCATTTAAATACCTTAAATGCCTTCCTACTGGTAACCTTTAAGGTGAAAACATATGGGTAGGTTATGCACACACAAAATAAATACAATTGGAAACATATTGGGCCGGGTTAAGACGGGCAATACCTGCTAGTAATTATAGAAAATAAAAAAAAAATAAAAATAAAAAAAAAATATTTGTTCGATTTTACCTTTCTCGGTATTCGAACTCACGTAAAGAGTGTATAATTGCACATTTACATAGCAATTGCGGTTGTGTGAGTGTATGTATGCCTATGCGCATCCATTCGTGTCTGTGTAAACATGTGTGCAGTCAACCAAAGCACCAGCATCAACAACAGCCGCGGGCAGCGCTTGAGCAGCGCTGCAGCAGCAAATATATGTATGACACAAATCAAAAAAATAAAACAAACTCGTATAGAATATACACATATTTTTTTTATATTTTATTTTTATTTATTTATTTATTTATTTAAATCAACAAGTGGTTCTGTCGATTTATTCAAAAACAATATATAAGTATGTAAGCAGACTCCCGAGAATTTATAGCAATAACAATTTGGCTCCCACACTTTGTAAAGAAGTTTTATTTCCAGCTGGGGTATAACTCAGCTGTCCAGGGTTCATTTACAAGAAAATTTATAAATGTGACGGGACCATGCGACAAGAGGGACTCGATGCACACTGTAGGGTGTCAGTCGCCTTGCGGCCGGTAGTTTTGGCGTTATGTCTGCATGCTCATGCGCTGCAAACTAACCTCCAAAACTCCGTTGGTCAAGTGGACTATTTCATATATCGCGGTTCATACACGCTCTACATGAAATAGGCCCACTGTAGCCGCTGGTGCTGGAGGATGCGGGGCGGAAATAGGGCTCGTTTTGACGTTATACTGCCGACTCATACGCAACAATATAACAATTAACACTTGTTCGCTTTTTCAGTCACACCTTACATATATTCGGACTCGAGCCTGGTATATATGTAAGTTGCGCTCATAGCGTGGGCGGATTTCTTAAATATTCTTAAAATTGCCTTTTATTTGGGATTTCGTTGCCATTGGCCCTACATTGCACCACGTTTATTGGCTGATTTCCAAAACTTACGTGGATTTGATCCTATGCCTCGCTGCTAACACACGTCTGGTCGTCTTGATGGTCGCCGAAGAAGAGAGCGAGCTTCCGTTTTCGTTTGCCCTTCTCGCCTTCGTTCGTGTGACCTAATTCTCTTTTTCTAAAATCCCTATACAAGCGTGGGCGGTGATTCCAGCTCGTTTATTCTTCCCCTATTCAAAAGATCTTTGCTGCGTAACCCTTCCTGTATGTAGTGTGGTGAAATATAATTGAAACTTACATCTAGTAGCATAGAAACTTCAATGTGAAATCTTAGATCTAATAACAGTAGTGGAATCTTAAGACTAGTAACAAAAATTGGCACTATTCAAAACCGTGCAAGAAATAATACAAATAGAAAAATCTTAGAGCTAATAAAATTTGTGGCGCAGAATTTTACTGCGTTACATCCTCTCCTTTCTTCGGGGGGTCAAATGGATCAAAACCCTCCGAGTCTTTGTCCGTTCCACTTGGAATCGTTGCCCGTCCAGTTCTTTGGAGTAACGGGCCCGTGGCCTGTGGTATTTTCCGGTCCTTCGTGTCGACCTTCCATCCCGTCGGTGCCACAACCCACTCTGCTGGTGCTGCTTCGCTGGTGGTCGCGTTGGTCGGGGCTCGTGAGTACCGCCGACGAAAGAGGGGACGGTTGTCCTCTTCGTCCGATGTTGCCGGCTCCCAGGTAGGCCGTTGGACAGTCTCGGGTGAGGTGTTCCGCCTTGGTTGACGCTGGGAACTGTCGTTGCGGTTGTTCCGCGTGTAGTTGGCCGCTTCTGGTTGTCGGTTGCTGGTCCGGTCATCGGTGGTCGCTTACAGCTCGACGCGCATGCATCGAGCCTCCTCACGACCCCTGAGTGCTTGCCGTGACTCTCTCGGTACGTTGAACATCGAACTCATCGTCTCTCCCGGGGGTAGGAAGATATCCACAGTAGTGGTGGTGTTGCGGGTCACTCGGGCACCATAGGGAGTGGTGATGTGCTGGTAGTTTTCGGCGGATGCTACCACTTCCCGGTAATAGACTTGCTCGTCGTCGCTGCTGGACTCGCTGGCCGGACTGGCTGTGTAATGCTCCAGCTCAGTCTGCGGCTCGGCGGGCTTGTATACCCCTCGTCCGCTCCTTGGGTCGCGTCGGGGTTCCGGCTTTGGTGACCTGGAGTAGGAGCCGCCGTCTTGATGGCCCTGGAACCGGGGCGGATATGTGGGGCCTCGAAAGCCGCGGTGAGGTGGTGCGTCCTCGTCGTACACCTCGCGCACATTGTCGGGATAGTGCCGTTCCGGTGGGGTGTCGCTCTCCGAGCTGGGAGGTGGTGGTGACTCTTGCCAGTCCCACTCATCCCGCTGCAGTGTTGTCCTGAATCGTTCGTCGGGCTTGCCGTCGTCGTTCTCCGGCTCGGATGAGGATAGCCACTCGTTGTCGTGAGCGCTGCTGGCTGGGGACGGGTCATCTGGTGACTGGCCGTCGTCGTTCTCTGGCTCCGATGAGGACAGCCACTCGTTGTCGGGAGCGCTGCTGGCTGGGGACGGGTCATCTGGTGACTGGCCGTCCTGGTCTTGGGGAAGGTATGGGGACGTAGACTTGTCGTCCTCCCAATCCTGCTCCGGCGACGATTGCCACGCACTGCTTCCATTATTTCTCTCCATCTTGGCTTAACGAAAGTTGTTGTTGCTGTGGAAGATAAAATTTCTTGTTAATAACTTTGTTTTTGCAGGTTTTTATTCCGCTTTAGAGGTTTGGCTTGCGCGTAAGGTAAACTAGTGTGAGTGTGGGGTCTCTGGCTAATACCCCTTATTATCTAATTTACTCGTCCAAGTAAGTGCGTCATGTCTTCTGGCTCATACTCAGGAAGTGGGTCACTACTTGTGCTTGGCGAGTGCTCTCTTGGTTAATCCTGAGGGTTGTGGGTAGCCTCGAGGGTGTCTGTGTCGTCGTCGTCGTTATTCGCTGCATCAGTGTGGTACTCTTTTAGGTCGGCCACGTTGGCAACTTGTCTCCTCCGGCTTCCCACACGTTGGATGCGCTCAACGTATGTGGATACGAACTTGACCACCTTGAATGGTCCGTCGTATTTCGGTGCTAGTTTTGCAGCAAATCCTTCGGCTGCTTTCGAAAGGTGATGCTGTCGAAGTAAGACAAGGGATCCTAGTTTCGGTCTCCATTCTCTGCGGCGTAAATTGTAGGGGCGTTGTTGATCTTGCGTGGCTCGTTGCATGTTGGACTGTGCTATGGCGAATATCTCCCTCAAACGGGCTGCTTTCTCGGCAGGCGTTTGAGATTCGCTTCCAGTGGCTGGCGTCACCTCGTCGTAAAGTGCGCTTGGGAGTCTTGGCTCTCGCCCTTGTACTACGAAGGCTGGACTGAAACCAGTAGAGTCTGAGACGCTGGAGTTGATGGCCAGAGTAATCTCCGGCAGCAACTCGTCCCAGGTGTTTTGATCGCCGTTGATGAACTGCGATATCATCGTTTTGATTGTCCGATTTGCCCTTTCTGTTGGGTTCTCCTGGGGGCAGTACGGTGCTGTATGCTGGACGTCGACTCCCCATTCCTTTAGGCAGTTCTTGAATATCCGACTCGTGAACTGTGTGCCGTTATCGCACACGAAGAGTTTTGGGACTCCAAACCTGCTGAGGACTCGTTCTCTAAATGCTCGTACCAGATGGGTGGCAGTGGCCTTTTTAAGGGGGACCAATTCGACCCATTTTGAGAACAAATCGAAGAAAACGAGTAGAGTAGTGTTACCGTGCTTGGATCTGGGTAGAGGTCCGACGAAATCAGCGCATAGTGTCGTGAATGGCTTGCCTCGTGAGCATTCTTCCAGCTGGCTTCTGTTGATTGACCTTAAATCGTTGGCAGCTTTCACATTTCTGAACATGACGTCGGGCGTCTCGACACATCCCTGGCCAGTAGTACCGCTGGGATAACCTGATGATCGTCTTGCGGATGCCTTGATGACCCGCTGTTGGAGCGTCATGGCACTCTTCGAGAACACGGCGACGATGATTCCTAGGGACACAGAGCTTCCACGGGACGTAATCGTCGTCGTTTGGCCTGTGACCCAGGTTTCGGTACAGTTGTCCATTTTCCAGGGTGTACTCCGAGAACTTCTGTGGATCTTCCTGTACTTGCTTGAACTTGTTCGTAATCCACGGGCAAGATGATTCTCCTTCTGCGTCAATTCGATACATGTTTTCCAGAGGCTGTCTGGAGAGTGCGTCGGCCACGACGTTTTGCTTTCCGGCTCTGTAGCGAATGTCGAATTGATATTGTTGCAATTCCAGCGCCCATCGTGCAACTCTTCCTAGGGGACTCTCGAGTGTATTTAGCCATTTGAGTGCCAAGTGATCGGTTACCACCTCGAATCGGTAGCCCTCCAGGTAGCACCTCAGCTTCCGGATTGCCCAAATCACAGCTAGACATTCCTTGTCGGTAGCAGAATAATTCTGCTCAGCTTTGCTCAGTCTGCGACTGATGTATGAAATGACTCGCTCCTGCCCATCGATCTCCTGCGTTAATACCGCACCGATCCCGAGATTGCTAGCGTCCGTTTGTAGTACGAACTTGTGGTTAAAATCCGGGCATGCTAACACTGGAGCTGTGGTGAGTAAAGATTTCAAATTATTAAAAGCTGTTTGCTGTTCTTCGCCCCAACGCCAGACTCTTCCCTTTTTGAGTAGTTGGGACATTGGCTGCACGACTGCAGCGAAGTTTGGCACGAATCTGCGATACCAGGATGCCATCCCAATACATTGGCGAAGTTCCTTCAAGTTCGTTGGAGGCTCCAGGTTTCGTACAGCAGAAACTTTGTCAGGATCCGTGTGAATGCCCTGGTTGCTGACCAAATAGCCCAAGTATTTCAATCTCTGTTGGAAGAACGTGCATTTCTCTGGATTGATTCTGAGATTTGCCTGACGTAGTCGTCTGAAGACCTCGCGCAAATTTCTGATGTGGTCATCAAAGTCCTTGCCGATGATAATGACGTCATCCATATAGGCGAAAGCGTTGGGTTCCATGTCTGTGCCCAGGACTGTGTCGAGAGTGCGTTGAAACGTAGCAGGCGCCGAGTGTAGTCCAAATGGCATGACACGCCACTGGAATAGACCCCGACCCGGTACAGTGAACGCTGTACATTCACGGCTGTCATCAGCCATGGGTATTTGCCAATAGCCATTCTTCAAGTCCAGTGTGGTTATAAACTTTGCGTTGCGTAGTCGCTCCAGTATATGGTTAATGCGTGGCAGAGGGTACGCATCAGGAATTGAACGTTCATTGAGTTGCCGGTAATCCACACACATACGCCACTTGCCATTCTTTTTCCGAACAAGCACAATGGGAGCGCTGTGTGGGCTCCGAGAAGGCTCTATTAATCCTTGCTCCAAGAGTTCATCCACTTGTTCATTGATTATACGTTGCATGGCCGGATTTCTTGGGAAGTATCGCTGCTTGATTGGGCGATTATCTCTCATGACGATCGAGTGCTTCGCCATATGCGTGACTCCACTGAGCGTGTCAAATCTTGGTAGCTCCTCGTCTAGGAACTGTTGAGCTTTGAGCTGTATGTCCCGTGGCCATGGTTCTGCCGGTTCTCGTTGTAACACCGAGTCGTAATCTGGTTCCTCGGGTTCTTCAGCCAATTCAGTGACGTCGAAGGGGCTGGCCTGCGTAGTCGTGGTCGTTGAGGGACTCTGTGGTTCCTTGTTCTCCTCATTGTCGTCTTCATGCTGTTGACAACACCTCTCTATGGCCTGCCGGCTAGTGACGGGTACGCTTGTATTCTTGGCTGGTGCAGGGCGCGGCGATGTGACCTTGGTTGTGCTTCTTCTCCGGCTAGTGGGTAGATCAGGATTCTCGTTGTGCATAGGGGCTTCTGGTTCGCCTGGTCCAAGTTTCAGGCAAACGGTCCCGCATTGTATCATCGTGCCAATGGTCTGTAGGAAATCGATACCTAGGATAACGGGGTCGAGCATGTTGGGCATAACCAGGAATGTCATGCGAACAGTGCGATTGTCTAGGCGTACGCTCGTGTGTAAGGCTCTGCTTATCTCGCATCTGGAGCCATCGGCAAGCCGAATGTTCGTGCTGGCGCTGCGGATTTCGTCCGGTCAAGCCACCGTATCAAAGCACGTTTCGCTGATGAAACTGCGAGTTGCCCCGGTGTCTATTGTGGCAACTATGCTTTGACCGCTTATCTGGACTCTGGCCACAATGCGTCCTTCGCACATATACATCTGGCTATCTAGGCTGGGGGTGTTGCTTGCGCTGTCTCCGCTGGGTTCCCAGTCGAGCGGAGACGCTGCTCGTTTCCCGATGCTCGCTGTGGGCAACAGGCAAGGGTTCGTACGCCTCGCCGTCCACATTCCCAGCAGAACAGTACCCGCCTGTTACGGCACTGATCCTGGAAATGGCCCTGATGGCCACAGTTCCTGCATGCTCGTCGAGCGTCGCCCGGAACATGTGAGTCCTGTGTCATCATTTGGTTCGCTGCGTCCAGACTGCCACCTTGCCGCATCCCCGGCACCGCCAACGTCATCGTCGGTGGTTCCAGCCGCGGCATCGGTCGTTGTCGGAACGGATTGCGTGGCGTCTCGAATGTTGTTGGTCTCGTGTTTCTGTCGCGGCCATATGTTGCAGCGGTAGGCGTATGCGCCCTGCTCGGTTGTGTTGGCGAAGGGTGCGGCCATGGGCGTGCGCCTCTGACCACGCTGCTTGACACTCTCCAACTCTCCAATGAGTTCGATAAGATGAGGCAGCGTCCGGAATTCATAGCGGCGTACATATAACTGAAATTCTGGCAAAGTGTTTTCATAAATACGATCTAGTTCTTGGGCCTCGGTGTACCCGGCATAATGCATGAGTGCTCGCAGCTCTACGACAAAATCTTTAAAATTTTCCCACTCTACTTGGAAGCGAGTTCTTATCTCGTCTTCTAGCCGCTGAAAATACTTGGAGCGCAGAAAAAATTCTAGAAATTCTTTTCGAAAGGTTGCCCATGTTGCATTCTGGAGTCGGCTTGTGCGGAACCAGAGTGCAGCTTTCTCAGTTAGAACCTCCGGCATGGCGCGCGGCAGGTCGTCGAACTCGATGTCGTAGGAAACAGCCCGTTCTTCGAGTTGTTCTATAAATGCCAGTGGGTCTGTGCACCCGTTAAAACGAAGTCCCCATTTTCTTATGCGCTCTGGACTTGTATTATGACATGCCATTGAGGCCGAAACGTTGCCTGCTGTGGGCCGGTTCTGGTTGGGTTCATCGAAGCGTATTGCGCGACTTGCAGTCGACGGGTTTGGCTTTGGTTGCCAATTTGGGAACAGCCGATCATTAATGGGCGAGAGATATGCAGGCGAAGCAGTTCCGGGTATCTGGAAATCGCGCGGCGCACCCGTCATCGATGTGCGCGGCAATTGTCCAGACTCAGGAACTGGGGCCGGTACGAATTTCGACGTATAATTTCGCGCTGCAATGCCTTTCCCGCAATGAACGTCGCGAAATTCTGTTTTAAATCGTCGAGTTGGTTCGCCGTGTCGAACCCGAACTCGACTGAGAACTCTTCCAGTTCTGTTTGCGACCGGCTATAAATCCAGCCGGTTCCCACCCCAGGGTTTCTAGTGACTACTGGAACGTACTCACCCTGAATTTCTGGATTCATCTT